ATGTGTTATCATTAATTTAGTTGGATGACTTGGTGTTCATTCATTATCCTCAAAATTATACTTTCAATTCTACCATATTTATAGGTAGTGAAGTGCCTAACAGATTATAAGAATTTTAAAAGTCTTTCATTCATTCATTTATTGAATTTTTATCGAGTGTCTCCTGTTACTAGGCATTGTATTAAATTGTGAACAAGACAAACAAGGTCACTGTGTCCTAGGCAAGGAATTTGCATTCCAGTAATTATCCTTTATATAAATCTAGACATTGTTTCTTACTGGAGCAAAAGAAGGGAGGTCTTTTCAAGCAGTACATTGTCTGCAGAAGCCATCTGAAATGAGAAGACAAAAGAGAATAATCGCCCTCATAGCTCTCAAGTATTATTATTTTAAAATTAGAAAAAACAAGCATAGGGGAGACTTGGCTTTGGGTTGTTTCATAGCTTATTGCTTTGATTTTTTGACTTTTTATTTATTTTTTTACAGAGCTGGGGATTGAACCCAGGACTTCTTACGTGCTAGGCAAACACCCTACCACTAAGCTACATCCCCATCCCCTGCTTTTATTTTTTTTTTTAGTCTAGTTTTGCAGGCAAAATGAATCTAATTTTTTTCCTTTTCCTTTTTTACTTTGATCATGAAAATTGAAAAGAAAGAAAGAAGGGAAGGATCTTCCAAAAACTTATGTCAGGGATCTTGCAAAAGGAATTATTTATTTAAAATTTAGTTGTTAGAGTGAAGATTCATAAACAAACTAGACATTAATTCACTCACTTCATGAATTGAGCACCTGCTATTTGCCAGGTGCTGTGCTAGTTACTGGGGTAAGGAAAGAGAGATGTCTCCCTGCCCTTAAAGAGCATATTAAAAAAAAGACCTTTCTTCTCCTGACATCCTTTTATTGAAGAATTGCCGCAAACTAGATTATTAGTACTCATGGACCAGATGGCACTTTTTTGCCCATCTGGGATAGTTCTAAAGAATAGACCCTCATGTATCAATAGATAAGATTTCTTCCAGTTCTAAGCTTTCATGATTTATGATCTAATAGTAGAAACAAGATGTATACTTCCAAAAAGATGTGATGCTTGTATTAATTTTCCTAAAAAAGGAAAATAGGTATGACCTATTTATTCAGAGAAAATTGGGTTCCTCCTATCTCTTTAAATAATTCCATTTAAACTCCTTTAGCTCTTTCTTCTTGAATCACCTTCCAAAGCTCACTCTTAGCTCTTTAGTCTCATTTCCTTTGACTTCCTTTAATGACTGAGACAAATTATTCATCTGTAACTGACTATACTTGACATCCCAAGTTAAAGGTTTTGCTGTTAACGTAAATGCATCATGTTCCAAATGAATTCATACATACATATGCTATTTCTCCCTTTTCTAATTGCCATGTTTCCATTCTTCCACACATGAAATCTAAGAGTGTATTTATTTCTTAAAATATTAAGCCCCAGCACCAAATTGGATAGCCATTCTTTCTTTCAAAATACCTCCTAATATGTACCCTTTTTTAATATTCCAGGCAATACTGTCTTAATTCCAATGCAAGTCTAGTCAAGTGCAACAGACTCTACCTGGTCAAGTACAACAGACTCTAACTGGTTTCAGCCCTAGGGCCCCTTTGGAATCTGATGTGTGCCATACAGACATACTAATGTTTGTAAAACCCAGCTTTCCTCTAAAATAGGGAATCATCTCACAGGAATCTTTTGTGTTCTCTAGACCTAGAATATGCCTTGTTTTGCATCATCTGCATTGTATCTCACTGTTCTCCTACACATCGTTGTTCTATTGCCCCAGGCTTTTCCTGGGTTTATCACTATTCTGCACCTTCCACCCTTTATGCATCCAAAGATCAGAGACTATAATATTTGCTTCCTGTATATCCCTTTCAATATCAACAGACACTTAGAAAGTGAGCAGATAATTAACTGAGTGAAGAATCAGTTGTACCCAAATGCAAGGTACTAGTGTATAATTTCTAGATTTTGCTTTCTAGTTTGCATATACTACTTTATATTGGGTAAAGGCATAACCAGTTACCCAGGCACCTGCATCCCATAATGTCAGGTACTCTGGAGGCTGAGGCAGCATGATTGCAAGTTCAAGGCCAGCCTTGGCAATTTAATGAGACCTTGTCTCAAAAAATAGAAAAGGACTGAGGATATATCTCAATGGTAGAGCACCCCTGGCTTCAATCCCCAGTACCAAAATCACACACACACACGCACACACACACACACACACACACACACACACACACACACACCCCACAGCCACTTAGGAAGGTCTAATACATGGAGGCTTTTGTTTCAAAATTTTATCAAATTTTATTTCCTTGTATAATTGCTCATAGAATAACGTGCTTTGTTTCTAACTAACTACAGCTTATGAAGACTTTGGTTACCTTCAGATTTTTCTTCTTAAAATTATTTCTTTATTTAGTCAATTGTGCATTCAGTCCACACAATACCTTTCTCCAATGATAATTTGTGAAATGAAATATTTTATGCTTAATTCTCTAGTTATTTTCTAGCTGTTTCCTGAATATTTCATTTCATTGCATGATGCATTTTTAATTTGTCTCACTCTCATGCATTTTTGTAAGTTTGAGTCATAGGGATAGAAGGTCTCTTTGATCTCAGTTTAAACTCTTTACAATATTGGGTATGCACAGGAAACTACCAGTGTGGTTCTGCTTATATAAGACGGAAACAAGCTTTAGTGATTGGGGGCTTATAATGGAATCAGATGCTTCATCCATCCATGCAATCCCTGTGATATGGTGGTGTAAACCCCAGTCCAAGGGCAGGAAAATACCAATGTCCTTCTGACTCAAATAGGTAGGCAGAGCAAAAAAGGCAGTTCAGGGGGCTGTGGAGATAGTTTAGTTGGTAGAGTGTTTGCCTAGCATGCACAAAGCCCTGGGTACAATCCCTAGCACCACCAAAAAAAAAAAAAAAAAAAGGCAGTTCAGGCCTTGATTGGATGATGCCCATCCACATTGGGAAGGGCAATCTACTTTGCTGAATGCACATATTCCAATGCAAATCTCATTTTTTTTAAAAAAACACATCCACCTAGACATATCCAGAAATAATGTTCATTGTAGGTCCCATGCAGCACAAGTTGACACATAGAATTAACCATCAGTCAGGTCAATGGATATTCTTGTTTGTCCCCCACTTCTCTCTCTTCATATCTCTCTCT